CCCGGGGCGGTCGCACTTCCCGCTCTGAGGCCTTTTGCGCGGCGGCACGTGTGGCGCGGCCCTGAGGCTGGGCGCGGTGTGGGGATGTGTGTGTCCGCGTCCGCCCCCGCCCCCTTCACCCGCCCTAAAGTTTCAGTCTATGTCGCTTTCCTCATCTCGCTAAGGGTGACGTTTTCAGTTAAATTATACTAGGGGTTTAATTAATGAATGAATAAGCCTCCAAAACAATGTAAGGGTATAGGATTTAATGAAAACATGAGTTTGGGGGTGGTGGCCCTGTAGAGCGCCATGGTTGGTTGGGCCACCATGACCGCTTTAATGTCTTCTTCAACATGGTCCTTGCAGAGTGTGCCTACAGTGTCTGTGACAAGACACCTGCTGTGTAGGATTCAAGGTTCAAGTCTGCAGGTCTTAACTCGTGTTCTGATGTTGGCATCTTGGTGGAAAAACTCATTCTCAACCTGTATGTTTTTTATAAAAGGTTCCCTCTCCTATTTGTGTCCGTGCTTTCATCAACCAGTACAGTTGGTGAAAGGTAACTTTGGTTAGATGTGGGCTCTGTTTCAGTCTTAGAAGCCTGCACACTTCATCAGTCCCAGTGAGTTTTGAGTTTCCTTTTTGGGCCATTTCAGCAAGATGGGTCTGTGCTCCTTTTAACTAGCAGAGGCTGAAAAGAAGTCTTAAAGATTTTCTCTTAACAAGAAGTTTCATTAACAGTTAAGGGGTTAAAGCTTGACTTTGGAAATACTTTGGTCAGTTAAAAGCTTGCTTACAACATCATGAAGTGATGGAGAGCAACATTCCTGACCTGTGGGAGGGACTTCACCTGTAGTCTTTTTTGCTTACAAGATCCGTTATGCTGATATTCAGCTGAATATTAATGACTGAATTTTGATAGCTTTAACTCACTTAGCTGTCTACGTGTATCTTTAACCGTTTTTCTTTCTTTTCTTTTTTTTTTTTTTTTTTTTTTTTTTTTTTTTTTTTTTTTTTTTTTTTTTGCCTCTCTCCACTCATTGGTCTCTAGCAGTTTGACTGATTTTTGTCTTTCTGCTATGTTGGTTTTGTTCCAAGAAGTCCATATTTGGCTTTTTCAAAAGGTTTATTTGGAGAGGTGCTCTTACTTGTTGAGTTTCCTATCAGCATTTGTTCAAAGACAAGATGAAGCCACATTGAAAGCCATCCATTTGCTTGTGAAGGAGACAATGTAACACAAAAGAATGTAGAAGGGAGCAGGTTTTGTATTTTACCACTTTTTTTTTTTTTCTAAATGCTGCTTTCTTAACGGCCAGATCAGGTGAGAAAGGATAGATGCAATTTTACAGAAATGTGCCCGTCTTGGTATGTTTTTGTGTAAGGTTTGTAATGTGTTTTTTCAGTCACCAGGATCAATTACTCAATGTGTTTGTTTCTTCCACCAACTCTTGAAGAAATTACTTTTGCTAGAAGGAACTTGTTGACATGAATAAGGACTGGTTTCTTGCTGTGCTTTTCACTCAGAATATTGAGTTGAAATCAATAAGCATCTCTGATGCATGTTCCAGTTTCTAAAAACACCCTGAATTAGTAATCTATGTGAATAGGGGAATTCAGACAGGCCGTGAATTATGAAGCTAATCCCTTTTATAAGCAAAAAGTAGAATTTATTTATGTTTTTATTACCTTCATAGTGCAAGATGCATTGCTTGGAATAAGTATTGTCTTCACTTTAGCTTTATGCTAATGTTGGGATTGTACAAGCAGAGTGACTGTGAGCTATAGAAGGTATTTTAACGTATTATCTTTAAAATTTTTTTTTTGTGCTCAGCTTTTTCAAATGATGTTCAATACAGGGAACTTCAGTGGTGCATAAAGTAAAAATATGCTGATAGTGCATAGATATTATGGTCCTAGCTTGGCTGTATTTACTATACTGAAGTGATCACCCTGTGACTCTAATGTCTCAATGTCTCATTTCACTTGCAAACGGATGAACTGTAGGTCCCAAACTGTGACTATCGTGTGTGCCTGACAGAGGGAGTTACACTGGTGCTGGACTTTTGCATGGGGTAACCAGTGGGACAAACTGGACTAGGTGAACTTAGAGGTGATTGCTCTCACACCACGTGCGCCATTCAACAGTCAAACAGTAGGAACCTAAATGAGCCGTTTTAGTTGTTAGCATTTGTTCTGAACTGCTGAAGCTACAGCTCTTCTGAGATTTTTTTTTTTTTTTTTTTTTTTTTATGGTCTTCTCCAGTGGCTTGTAGGTTCAGAAAAGATTGCTGCTCTTCTGTATACAAATGCATGCATTTAAGAAAAACATATCTGGTAACCAATGTATTTGAGTAATGTATAATCTAGCCATTCTTTTTATCTGTAATGTAGAAGTCTATATTCTAATTCTCACGTTTGTTTTATTCAGTGATACGCATTCAAGTGGTTCATCAACTACATCATCCTCTTCGTGTTCTCCTTCGAGTGTATCTGATGAAGATGACCATCCAAATGAGGATAACAGATCTTACTGTGTTAAAACGAAAGATGAGTTGCCTGCTGATGTAAGTACAATGCATGATCTTTTAAACCTTTTTCTAGTAACCCAACTTAAAATATTTTAACTTAATATATTTTTAAGTCATTGCAGCACCTAGCGATTGAATGTATGTTTTTATGCTAGTTCAGGTATAGCACAATAACTTAAAATGTTTCATTTTTCAGTATACTAAGAACACTCTGAATTGAGGTCCACAGCTCATTTTAGGTTTATATTTTTATAAAATCACAACTGTAATTAATGAAAACAAATACATTTCTGGATAAAATTCTGGATATTTTAGTACATTTTTTGTTGTTTGTATATTGCAGGCTTTCATCATCCTTTCTTTATGTGAGAGACTTGAAGGTCTGATATGTCTTGCAGACATATTTCAAATGTCTTTAGCCCTGAGGTAAAAATTTCAAATGTTGTATTAAGCCTCCCAGAGGTTCAGATTGAATTGCCTCTACTCACTTATGCAAAATTATTACAGTGGTATAGAAATGGTTTGTATTTGCTTTATTCTGCAATTTTTTCTTGTAGCACTGTTGTATGTGTTGCAGATCAGAACCTAATTTGCATCAAGATACTGTGTTTTGTTTTTTTATTCTCGTAAATAACATACTCGTTAAGTACTGCTTCCATTACTCCTCATTGTCTGAAAATTAAGAGGTTTAAAGTTTTAGTAATGTGCTAACAGATGATTAGCTATGCATCATTTGTAATGAATTACAAATAAAAGGATAACACTGTAGTGTCAATTTACATTAACAGTGTATGTTTATTTGTTATTCTGTAGATCTCTCCCCTTCATAAAAAATTGCTTTCTGGAATGAGAAACAAGTCTGATGAAGGGTACAAGAAATTACTAGAAAGGTAGAGAAAAAGGAACTCTGAAGAGCAGATAAATTTGCATACCTTTGCTTCAGTGCTTTGTAAGAGTTTGTAATGAGTGCTAGAGGACTGTTGGGAAAGGCTGAGGCGTTGACACACATCAGAAGTAGCAACAACAGGGGATAGTAATATGTTGTAAAGAGCAGCTCTTAGGATAGTCTTTTATCCCTGAAATTAATCAAAGGTTGAGAAACACACATAATGTTATGTTCTGAAGGACTAAAACATCAGAGCAATTCCTGCTTAGATGCATTTAGTTTTGAAGTATGTTTAATAGTAAAATTAGTGCTTCTATGACAGCATTTTTTTTACAGCACTGGACTTCTGAACAAAAATCCTTGCTGAAATAGATGTACTTACCAGGTTTTAGTTACCTATTATCTCATTTATTTATTTAAATAAAATTCATGTTAGTCTGAAAATGCTTTGTTTATCTACTCTTTTGTCTCATTAGCTTACTAGCTTCAAGTCCAAGCATTTACAAAATGCTGTCTTCCTTTTAAGTACTGGCCTGATTAATTGTTTCAACAAAGCTATATAGGTTTTGCCAGTGACAGTTAATAAGAACTGAAGTTCTAGCAACTACATTATTTACTGTACCTTGTGTTAAGCCATTCTACAGTAGTAGAATTAGTCTGTGTGAAAATGTTGTAGAGTCTTATGTAAATTTGAGGGAATACAGTTTGAAAATTGTTAAAAATGAAACATGATGATTAGTTATTTACCCAAAAGTCCCCAATAATAGCTAACTTGTTAAAGCATGGGTCAAAGACAAAATAAAAGACTAAAGAAGGTATTTAACTGGAATATGTGCTTAGGAGAAAAAACATGCACGTATTAAGGGGTATTAGTGGAACTATTTTAGAAACCTCCTGCTTTGAGGTGTGGAATTGACAGATACTGTTTATAGTATGACAGATGGTACAGTTCACTAATTTGAGATTCATGATCAAAATCTTAGCTTTCTTCCTTCTGGTCTTTGGCCTTTGACTTACTCTGGCATCCATGACTCGGTTAAGTCTTAGCAGTGAACTTGGTTTAATGTTGGAAAACTTTCTGTCCTGTAGAAAGGTGTTTCTCTTTGAATTCACATCTTGGCTTTAAGGCTGTATCATATGACCTGGGGAAGTCTTGGCCTCTGTTTGGTCTTTGTGTTGCTCTAGAAGCCTTTACCAAGCACTTTCGTTAAGAGTGAAGATTATCAGGTGAAGTTTTTTTAAGACACAATGAGATTCTTCTATTGGAGAGGGATTTTATTTCTGGTGATGGCCCTTAAAAGTCCAGTGCAGTGCTAAGATTTTGACTCTATCTCCAAATTCAGAAGATGTTGAATTTGAAGATAATTCTTACTCTAGTTGCTCTTACTTTGTATTCCATATAGTACATACTGAATTCACAGCAGTATAGTATGCATATAGAAATTTTAGTTTGTGAGGGAATTGGAGGTAGATGATGAGTTTGGTGTTAATCAGCCTTTGACAGCAGATTTTGATGCTTACACTTGAGGAAAAAGTTTAATTTGAAGTTTGTGCAGTACTCATTTGTATATTTGAAGTTTGGGGCTTTTTTCCAAAGTGTTCTCTATGATTATTCTCTTGTACCAAATACAACTTCTAGCTAAAAATAATTTTTTGTATACATTGTTGTGATCTGTACATCTTCTATAATGGTCTGAGTCATGGCATAAATGGACAGACACCATCTTGTTAATTCAGATGATGTGTATCTCGTATATTTCAAACTATTTTATCTCTTGCTATGTACATTTTTCTTCTGTCATATATTGAGTGTGGTTACAGGTTGTCTGATTTTTTTGATTACTGATTATCTAATTATTGTGTTGCATGTTGAACTTAATTTATCTAACTTGAAAGTTCAAAAAAATGAACAAAATGTCTATCAGTTGTTGGTTTTCTCCAGTTGAATAAAATCAGCTTCTACTTCAGTTGCAATGGAAATATGTAGAGTAGCGCCTCAATAGAAAAGGTGTCTTCAAAAGTGACATTCCTCCAAGATGAGTTCATTTAGAATTACTCTGAAGGAGGCAAATCAAACTGGATTTTTTTTATTAACTCTTCAACATGCTAGGAGGCTTTTCTGATTGTCAAATTTAAGCAGCAACAAACTGATGAATGTCTTAGTCTGACAAGATTCTATTCTGAACATTGACTTGGTATTTTCAGGAACTGCCTCCTGTTGAAGACTTATCAATAATTCTGCCTGATGATGTTGAACTGAAGCTCTTTGGGACAGTTTCCAGCATCATCGAGCAGCTGGGTAGGCAAGATATGTTTGCTTTGTTTTTAATTAAAGTATTTTCTGTATATCTCTGCATTAATCATGCACTTAACTGTTCCCTCAAAATGTCAATACTGCAGCGTTCTGTTTCAGGGGGTAGTGGGTTGCTGAATGAGAACTTAGACTACCAAATGACATCTGTGTTGAATTCCCTTTTAGTTTGCTTACATCTTATAAAGATGTAAGATACTACAACTATTATGCATGTATTTCTGTGTGACTTTCATGTTCTAATTTTTTCATGAAAAAGCATTTGTCACCATGTATTATGATCGTTATATTCTGGCAACAATGAGATCGAACATTTGCAGTATTTTAAGAAATAAATATTTTTTATTAAGAAATAAGCAGTTGTACGTGCTGTATTTGAATTATCTATGAAGATGCAGAAGGTGTATAACTGAAAGCACAGATGCAGTACAAGGCAGTCCCAAGTGCTTGCTTGTTTATATATGAGGGCAGGAAACAGATGTTATTTCTTTTAGCCAGTGTAGCAGTGCTTGGGTAATTGGTATGTTTGGGGTTTTTTGTTTGTTTGTTTTTCTAATTCATCCCCCTTCTGGCACCTTGACCAAATACAAGCTACCACTGTCAGCGGTCATAGGATGGCATGACTAACATATATGTGCTGGAGGGTAAGCTTAATGGGATTTAGACATACAATGGATGTAAGCTTAACTGCAGGCAATAGGCATTTGGAGATCTTTTCAGATCTATCTGGGACCTCAGTTTTTGATCCAGTAAATCAAAGTTTTGCTGAAGCTGATATTAATAAAATACCCATACTATGTTTGTATTTAAGCTTATTTCAAGTGTTCTATTCTGCTTGAACTGCTTTCAAAGCTGTTCGCTTATGAAAATTAGAAATCAAGTTCAATTTTGAAGTTAAAGTATTTATGTTGAGTGGGCTACAAAATAAATAAAGCAAATACGCTTTGCTATTAAATTTCTTTTATTGTAAAAGGCTTCAGGTAATACAGGCGATTCCTTTACAGTATTTTTGTTGGTGGTGTTGGTTTGGAGTTAGTTTTAATTTCGTCCATGTGCAGGAAGCTGGCTTGGAAGGTAGTAATCTTGTCATTGTCCTCTTGTTCTACTTTGCCCTTTCTTGCTTATTGATAATATCGGGGACTTCAAGAAGGCTGTTTTCACATAAATTGATAGTTTGAAAGTAAGTTAAAAGAGGAACAATTGAATCATAGGTTGCAATTATTATTTTTTATCTAGTATGTGAATGTTTAAACAAAGCCGGTTTTAAAGACTTCAGTTTTGAAAACTGTCCTTAATTTCTAATCCTCCTTGGTGCGTATAACCTTTTCAAATCCTGTCAGTTTACTGATAGGTGAATTCTTGAGTCTGTTTTATGTAACTGAAATATAGGAATTGTTGAGTTTAGATTGGTTGGTGAAAGTTAGAAAACAGCCTAATAATCATACATTAAATAAAGTCATAAGAACGGAATAAAAACCCAAGATATCCGTGGTATTTTTCTGCTTTTACTACCTTGCTTTATGACTTCCTCTTTACATATTTTCCTTTATTTTCATTTCTTCTGGAAAAACAGGTGTCTGAGTGGCTTCAATTTCAATTTATTTGTGGCCATATTAGGGACTCTGTCAGTTAGTTACTTGTGGGTTGGTTTTTGATTTTTTTTTGAACTGATAGCTGTGTATACCAGGTTTGTATATAGTATGAGGGGAGTTGAGGTCTCATTTGGAAATCACAAATATTATTTTGGCACAACAATGAGTATCCTGAACAGTTTCTGTCCCTTTGATGTATGAAATCTCTGCTGTTCTCTGTAGCAAGCTTCCTAGTTCATCAGTTTGCAGTGTGTGATACCTGTAAGTTGGCTATTTCATACTATGAGGTGAATTTAAGGCTAGAACAGTATAGGTTCATGCTTCCTTCACACTAGCTAAAAGCATGATGACAGTACTTTCTGTGAACTTTAACTTCTGCTCGCTATCAGAATTTAACAGAACTTTTGCTGTGTTTTGCTTCAAAGTACTTAGAAGAAAAATTCACTGTGTGGATTGTAGCCTGGAAAGTAAACACCTTCGGTTATAGATAAGAAATGTACCCTGGGACTGCACTTCGGACCCTGGAAGAGTAGAAGCTGAGGATGTGGGGTGGGGTAGGGGGAGCTATAAGTCAAGTAGGTTGTAGGAGATAATATTTCTCCTGGGTTTCATGGGACTGGCATGACTTATGTTTTCAGAATATTTTCCTTAGCCTCTTGGAAGAGTGGGGGCTATGTGTGATCAATGAAGTCGAAAGCATTCTCTGAGAGTTGTTGGTGTGTGGTTTGTTGTTGTGTTTTGGTTTGGGTTTTTTGTTGGTGGGGATTTTTTTTTTGGCTAAGGTTTATTTCTCAGGAGGGTTATGCAATACATTGGGTTCTTTATGTGTTTTATCTTATAGGTAGGCACAAAATAAACTGATTTCCCTACTTCTCTTGAAATTCAGTGAACTATTAAGCCTGTAGCAATGTCACAGGCTTGCTTGTCACAAAGGTGTTTGCAGATTGAAATAGTAGCAAAGCTGAAGTTTTAGCTTGATGAGATGTTTACTGCTCTAAGCCCTGTTATGTAAGTTTAGCAGTGATAATCTTGTTAGTTTTTGTTGGAGTCTGAGTGACACAAAATGCTTGAGTGACTTTATTTGATGATGGAGAGGCATTGACAATGCTTAACTGAGCGTTCTGTTTTCGAGGTAGGAAAGATTACCTTCAGAATCAGAATTTTTGAGTGTGATGCTGCTAGGCCTCTGTATTGACAGCTTTACGTACCATTCCTTTTTTTTTTAAAGGAAGACACAGTATTTCTGTAGACAAAAGCAACAAATATGAACTATTACCAAAGAAGAGAGTGAACTACTCTAAAGATTTCAGTAAAGAATAAGCTCTTTATGTTTCTGAATCTGGAAAACCTAAAAATGAAGTTGCCGGTATATGAAATTATGTATTTAATGGAGGAAGAACATGCTTCTGTGTCCATTTGTAAGTGTTTTGTCTACTCAGTGTTAAGATTTCATATTTTGAGCTCCTAGAATGACTTGTTCGTTCTGACCACTCGTACCATAATTAATCATGGATTAGGCCCAAATGTAGTATGAGACTATTATATGGCATTACATTGCAGAAATGTATTTAAAATTGTGTAATTGCACATATAAATGACTCCACCAGTTGCTACTGTGACTGGACTTCCAGACATGCTTTGTGTTCTGGTCTGATTCTTATGACTTTCTAGGGGAAGCTATAATGAATAGCCCTCTCCTTTTTTTTTTTTTTTTTTTTTTTTCCCCAAGGAGAATTTAATTTGGAATGCTAAGAAGACAGAGTATATCTGCACTCCAAAAAATGTTATTGCTGCTATGCACTTAATTAAGAAACATGCTGGGTAAATGTAAAGACACATACATATCTGAGACTTTTCTTTTGTACCTATCATCTGGTCTCCTTTCTTTCTTTACCCTGGAGAACAGTAATTCCATAAACAAGTGTAAATCTTACCACTTCTGTATCACTGGAGAAGGGGTGTATGATTTTAAGTTTCATGTGTGTGCAAGAATTTTCAGGTGAAGCTCTATGAACTTCAGTAGACAAATAATATAGTGCTTTGTTAAGTTTCTCTGCAATTAACTACATACTGCTGTTGAAACACAGTTCTAACTGATTCTTTTTTCCATTTTAGTAATAATTGAATCACTGAGAGGTCTACCTCCAATAAATGAGGAAAGCATAATTTTTAAAGAAGATCGGCAAGCAGCAGGAAAGGTGTGTATAAAGTATAAAAACCTGTTATTCTAATGTAAGTATTCTAATAGAAGTATTATGTTCCAACAAGCAGTGTTGAAGTTGAGTAAATGATAATGAGTCCTTGATATGTAGTTTTTCTTTGTGCTTTTGACTCTTGCTATAATCTGTTTTTTTAATCTCAAGAATTCCTAACCTGGAATTCATTGCATCCTTACAGAATTACAATGTGTGATGACTTTTGGCTATTTTATGAGAGTGCTTGTGGAGAGGGAAAGGTTGCTTTCAGATGTATGATGTCATGAATAACAGGTTGTGCTCTTTTTATTGCTAGGAGTGGGGGGCAAAGATTGGAGAAATTAGATTCAAGTTTCACAAAAAATGGGGAATGTTTACATATCTGTGCTCTGATGTTCCAGTTTAAGGCCAGCATGCGCTTTATGCAAGTATAATGAAGAATGTTTGCTGGAGGGTTGTTGCATTGGATTTTGTGTTTTCTGGGGAAAGAAAACCATCATCTAGAATGGTTACTACTATTATATCTTTGAATGCTAGATTGAGTGAAACAAAGAAACTCAGCCGGAAACTGCAGCTGTTCTGTACAACATCTCGGAATTCTCTGTGGAACTGGGGAGCAGACAGGGGAACTGATGTAAAGGTGTCTTGTAGAGATGAACTTGGAGGAATAAATGACCGGGAGATTGTTCCAGGTGTAAGAGATTTGAAAGCATAATGCAGAGAGAAGAACAGAGATTTGACAAAAGGAAAGATCACTGAAGTAGAGGAAGCAGACAGTGAAAGTAGTGCAGTTTGGTGGGCAAAGGCAACATCAGCATGTGAGAACTCTTCCACGTTATGACTTAAACAGTAGCTGGGGAAACATACTGTCAAACAAAATGCGGTAATAAAACTAAAGCTTGAAAGTAACTTTATTTCATGCTGCAGTACAAAGCATCTTAAAGCTTCACGGTTGTCTACAATGAAATTATCTATTTACTCTCAGTGGTTTATTGAAACATCTTAATTTTGTTTTGCGTTTCAGATATTTGAGATATTTGGTCCTGTTTTACATCCCTTTTATGTGTTAAGATTTAACAGCTCTGAGCATATCAAAGCAAAAGGTATTAATGTGCAAGATAGCATGTATTTTGCTCCATCACTGGAGGACTTCACCCAGTATATATTTGCAGAGAAACTAAAACAGTGAGTCTGACTTCTTTTCTAATCTGATTATAATGTATTTTTTAACGTAGCTAAGAATCCTGGATTAAAGTGATTAAAGTGAGAAACTATAGGACTAAGCTTGACATTAAAACTTTTCTTTTTTAGATATTCTCAACTGTGTTGTAATAACAATGCTGTACTGTTTTGCCTTTCAGAACCATACAGAGTAGCTGTAAACTACAAGCTTCCAAAGTGGTGTAGTTACTAAAGTTTAGTAGCTTCTTATTCAGTGTAATATATTAAGCTTGCTTTCTTTTCATACTGCTGTGTTACCTAAAATATCACAACCAGAAAAAAATTCACTGATACTTCCCTCCTGCACACCCTGTCACACATGCATGGGTTTTGCAAGCTGGACTTTCTGTATTTTGTTTAGTTTAATAACTTACAATAAACTTGTTTGAATTCTGAACAAGTTTGTATTTATTATCTGTATTTCATGTTACAAGGCCAGAAATGAAATTTAATTATCAATAAATCTATTGTGTAGTTAGAGAATAACAGTTCTATATGAAAAGTACTTGCTGTAAATTTGGGAGAGGGGAGGGATTTGAGTGACAATGCAGTATGATGTTCAGAAACTTCTCAGTAGTATTTGTGTATCCCAGTCTTCCTGAGGAAATGAGCACATATGTAGGACTTGCTGCCATTTAAAAGAAAGTGCACTCAAAGGTACAGATTAAGAAATAAAGCATAGTAAATGACAGCTAGACAGTAGTGTTCTAGTTATTGATGAATAATTGTCTGAAATAACTCTAGGTTAAAAAAGCCCTTTGTCATACAAGCAACTTAGTCTCTGTTTATTAAGACTAGTTCTCATCTGACTTGCAAATTTTTTTTTTACTTTAGCCAGTAATATTGGTGTCTGCATTAATTGCAAGTCTGCCAGTATTTGTGCTGAATAATTTTTTTCTTTAGTCATGCATATGGCCAGGCCTGCAGGAGTGTTTTTTTTTTCCTCTTTTTTTTTTTTTTCTCCTTTCCCATTTCTGTGGAAGCAACAAGCATTTTTTTTTTCCTTTCAATGAAGACCAAAATAGATCACTTTCTCACTCTGCTGCTTGTTTGTTTTTCTGCAGCATTTTGATGCCAGCTGGTCTTTGATTTGTGCCATTAAACTTTGTTGCTTAGCACAGTAACTGCACAGACTTTAATCATCTGCTTACTACATCAATAACTGTGCTGTACTCAGCATCTGAGACGCGAGACTCATGTTTTAGCTTGTTACATGCTTTGCAGCTAGTTTTGGGAACTATTTGTCTTTGGTATTACTTTGTCACATATGGTACAAAATTGAACATTAGGTAAGTTTCACACAGTCATGACTTATCCGTGTAGCTGAACAGTGCATCAGACATTGTTTCTTGCTCTGCATTAAAATGAACAGTGTGAATACTTGTGTAATCTGACATAAACCATACTTTCTGAATAATGTGACTGAAGTTACACTTCGCTGAAACAATATTTTATTTCTGAGTTTTGTCAGTAAAGGTTCTTAAGCTTTTGTATCACAATTGGTACTATTTATTGAAGCTGCCTTTTCACAAAGTAGGTGTCACTGAAAAAGGATAAAGGATTTTGATTTCTGATGTGTAATGTGTATATAAAGAAATGAAGATGGCATGGATAGTAGAAAAGTTGAGTTTCAGTCAGTGCTTCACAAGAAAGCTTTTGGACCTTACCAGATTGCAGATTTGATGACCAATGATTTTTATTTTCTGCTTTCTGTTAGTTTGACTTGATGCAGACCGGCTTGTGGAGTATTATAGGTTTAAAGTTTCGGAACTTAAGAACTGCTACTCAAAACTGCGATGGTACTTTGAAAAGGAAAGGAATCAGGATTAAGATCTGAAAGAAACCTTAAGTTTGAAGCTGTTTCTGAAATCTAGCGTGCAATCTGCTTGCATTGTACAAAGTTGCAGTGGTATGAATAAGCCTTACACTCTATAGCAAAATAAATGGAAGTGTAGTGTGAAACTTCTTGAATGCAAAATAATTTGTTGTTAAAAATAGATTTATGTTGTTTCAAAGACAAAGTCATTCTAAAGAAGCTCATGTATTTTCATGATTCCTATGAGTCACCTTTTGTTAGACTTCCAGATATCACAGTATCTGAGTTCAGAAATCAAAGAATTACTGTCTAGTTCTTTGCAGAAGGCTATTGGGTATCTCAGCATCAGAAGGCTGCGTCAGGAGAGCGAGATAAGCTGCCTGAAGAATTTACAAGGTTTAGATTTTGCAGTCAGTAGTACCTACATATTGCCTAATGACCACTGGAGTTCCTTGTGTGCTCTGGTATTTCTGGTAGGCATGTATTGCCTGAAAATAAACAGATGAGGGGGAGAAACAAAACTTGGTTCGTAATGATAAAAAAAAGTGTTACTCTTCATTATTGATTAAGTAGAGTTTTCTGCAGCTGAGAAATTACCCATATAGAGCCCTTATCTTTCTTTCCTCCCTGTAATACTTTCTTCTAATTGAAATTTAAAATGGCTTGCATACTGATGTGATATGCTCATAATCACAAAGGTGGTGTATCTTTATGGTTTTCTAGTGATATGTAGAGATTGAGTTTCAGTTTTGTGGTACAAAGTACTTCCAGCTGACTTGCCAGCGTTCTCATGGGCAGCCTTTGACCTCTTAAGTCCAGGCTACCAAGAGCCGAAGGTTACGTACTTTGATGTAGCTCTTGCTGCTTGATTTTTGCTGACTGAGTGAATACATAAAAAAATCCCTTGGTTATTAGAGCACGGATTAAAGACTTTTTCACACTGAACATGCTGGTGTTTTTTAACTATATGGTTCCATTTTGTAAGTAAGAATTTTCAGTATTGCATTTTTTTATATAGTTTGTGTAGATAAGGATTGTGTCTTGACATTTCCGACCAAAATGTATTAAATTTGCAAGCAGTGTGGGAAAAATGTTCCACAGGCTTTTAACAGCATAATTTAAATTTGTTCCACAAATTTGTTGCTAATCAAATAAATGACTTGATTTTTTGTGACGTTCTTAAAGTGGTGGGTGAAACAAATGATACCACTTCAAATTAATTTTGGTGCTTTTCAGGCAAGATGATTGAGGTTTTGCTTCCATAAATGTCTAAATTGCATTTTTATTTTGTTGTAAATAAAAAATTGAAAGTGAAACCTAATTATCTAGTTAACACTGTATTAATAGAATTGTAAGCCAAGCTTAGAGGTTTTTTTGGCTCCAAATTTACTTTGCTATAGATGTATTTAAGCCTGTGTGACTAGACTAGTTCATTGGCCTTTTTAACTGGAGATATGTATTCTGAAACCAGAATAAGGAGATTTATGACTGTAGTCAGCAGTTGGCATAAGAAAGTTACAGTGAGCTACCTCAATTCAGGTTCAGAGCAGTTTAGGTTCAAAAGGATGTATTGAGAGAATATTGATCAAAGCTTAATATTAGCTGTATGAAGTGTTTGGTCTTCACTCAAAATAGGAAGGTTTTTCAAGTGGCATATGTAGTGAAGTTCTAAGTTGACACATACGTTGCTATTAATTTAAGAAACTACATTAAAAAACAAATGCCTCTTTTAAAACAGGCAGCTCCTGGTGTAGGAGATCTGATACCCTGAAGAAAGTGTTACCCTATCTGCTACAGGGCAGTTCTTGCAAATTATTTCTAACCTGGAATAAGTTGCTATTACATGACTCAAACAAGAGATGTTCTTACACCATCTTCCTTCATCTTGATTGTTTAATTTGTGGTTTGTTTTTTTCTTTTAGGGAAAAAGGTTCAGATGCATCTTGGAAGAATGACCAAGAACCACCACCTGAAGTAACTATAGGTTTTTTTGGTTTATTGTTTTTGATTACATAAGATATATGTAGAAAAATTTCTGTGCAAACTAACTAATTAGCAAGTTTATTTTTTTACACAGACAAGAGTTGGCTGTACCTCTCTTCTTCATTGAAAAGATGGTCATGCTTTTCTTGGAGAGGCCTCACAGTCGGTGTAAAGAGTATGGGCTGTTGTCTTCTACTTGCTTTTTACAATTGGGAAAATGTAAAAAAAAAATCTTTATCTTCAGTTCCTCTAGTCCTTCAAGAACATGTTTGGCAACCTGAATGTTCAACTTTGAGTAGCAGTGCTTTTATATTGTTTTGCTCCTGCTAGGGAATTTTCGTCCTTGCTTTTCGTTCACTGCAGCTTTGTCTTTTACCTTGCCACAAGCAATTGTTTGTCTTTAACGGCCTGCTGGTATTCTGCAAGCTGTACTACTTGGGTGTTTAACCTGTCTGCTCTGTTACATTAACTGAACACCTGCTCTGTTGGATTCTTTGAATGGTTTCTTAGTAAGATTTCCCTACTGCTTGCTATTATAAAACACTAGTTTCATGAGAGGAGATGAGTTTCTTCCATACAAAGGCAGTCATACAAGATCATGTAGAAGTGAGAGCTCTTTATGACCATTGATGACATTTACTGTAGGATCTGTAAAGATTTATTCAGTGACATCCAGGCTTTCTGTCCAGTGCTTCTTTACTCTAACTCTACTTTTCATGACTACTCTCTTCTTCAGTAAGAATTGCAAGGCTGATAGTTTTATTGAGGTGTTTTCATGAGATTTGTTTTCTAGCTTAACACCCAAGTCACTTTTCCTTGCAATTTCTGCTTTAAGCCTGTCTTATCCAAAACAGCTGAAATTCCTCAAACCCTTGTGTCTACCATAGTATCCTAAAGAGAGATCTCTCTATGCTTGTTTTGAATCTTCCAAAAGCTTGTATAGTTCTAAGCTACATAGTGTGTGCTTTTTTGTAGGTTGGGGTTTTTTTTTAGTGTTCTAACCAATTTTTAGAATAGAATATTTCAGTTGGAAGGGACCTGCAACGATCATTTAGTCCAACTTCCTGACTAATTTGGGGCTGCCTAAGTTAAAGCAGACTGTTAAGCGCATTGTCCAAATGCCTTTTAAGGACTGACAGGCTTGGGGTACCGACCACCACTCTAGGAAGCCTGTGCCAGTGTTTGACCACCCTCTTGGTAAAGAAATATTTGCTAATGTCTAGTCTAAACCTCCCCTGGTGTAGCTTTGATCCATTCCCATATATCCTATCACTGAATACTGGGAAGAAGAGATTGACAGGAACCTGTATATAACAATAAGGTCTCCCCTCAGCCTCGTTCTCTCCAAACTAGACAAGCCCGAAGTCCTCAGCTGCTCCTCATAGATGCCTTCCAGCCCTTTCACCAGCTTTGTTCCCCTCCTCTGGGAGGCATTCAAGGACATACTTCTTGAATTGTGGGGCCCAGAACTGCACACAGTACTCAAGGTGAGGCTGCACCAACATTGACTACAGCGGGATGACCCACTCTGGTGACCGGCTGGCTGTGCTGTGTTTGATGCACCCCAGGATGGGGTTTGCCCTCTCAGCTGCCAGGGCTCACTGCTGGCTCATACTGAGCCTGCTGCTGACCAGATCCCTTTCTGCAGGCTCCAGCTCTCTCCTCTCCCATTTATACTTGTGCCCAGCATTACTCCATCCTAGGTGCAGGATCCGGCATTTAGACTTCTTAAATTTCATGCCGCTAATCATAGCCAAATGCTCCAGTCTATGTAGAACCCTCTGCAAGGCCTCTTGTCCTTCAGGAGAGTCAGCAGTGCTTCGCACTTTATCATCAGCAGCAGATGTGCTAATGGCGTATTCAACTCCTGCATTCAGATCGTTGATAAATGTATCAAACATAACTGGCCCTAGAACTGAACCCCAAGGAACACTGCTTGTGACTACTTGTCAGCCAGATGTAGCCCAATTCATTCCAACCCTTTGAGCTCTGTCCTTCAGCCAGTTCTTCAACCAGCTCACCATGAACCCTCTCATTCCACAGTTGGACAACTTGTCCAAAAGGATGCTTTGAGGGGTAGTACTAATTTTTGCATTCACAGTCCTTATCCCAGGCCAGTTGTTCTGGCTTGAAGGAGAGAGGTTGTGACGCAGGGTTTTCTATGCTTGAAGATAGGTCCTGTGATGATGTATCAGTCTTTCAACCCAGAATGTTGCTTTTTCCACTACAGTGAGGGTGATGCATTTCGAAATACCTTTTTTCTTCCTACAAATGGAACTGAGCTGAGCAGTGTTAACTTCTCTCAAAGAATGCTTGTCTGTCAGTTCTGACTGTAAATTGCCTTCCTTTTCTGGGGAGGCATCATCTCACAAAGAATCATCATTTGAGAATTCAAGAATTGGACTGTAGGTGTGTGATTAGAAGTGTTGCATAGAGTTGGACTCTAGGTATGTGATCAATAGAGGTTTGAAACACTGTATACTTAGAAAATTTTGGATAGTCTTAGCTTGCTTTCATCCAACGATTTTGTAGTGATGGTTATACACAATGTTGTTATTGGCTAATTGTGAGCTCTTTTTGTTTCTTAGCCAGTATTTTAAAGCTGTTGAGGAGATAAGCTTGTAAATATGTAATTTGAATTAGTAGGAACCTAAGTAACTTTAAAATTTGGCTAAATACAGTCAAGCAGCCAAGTCTTTTGCAGATACAGATTTATTGCTTTTTCCAAAGTTGGTATTTATTTTTTTATGATTTTTCTTTAATTTTGATACTGTTACTTTCAGGTTAGAATCAGAAAGTACGGGGGCAACTTTAGGTTTACTGTACTTCACTGAAGGAAGGAAGCTTGAATGAAATCAGTGACGGCAAGGATGGGCAAACTTCATTGCTTTTTATGACACCTTTGTTTCCGTGGCTGTTCTGACTTTGTGATACGGCTGTGTGCTCTGTTTTGGAGAAACATCTTGTAATCCTTAATTAGAGTAATCTTTGGATAGTTCTAGCAGTTAGCGTTTACTCTAAGATATCAAAACTCTGACAGCTGATGAGCTGATAGAAAGTAGCTTTTGCTGTGAAGGTAATAGCTGTTGACAAGGGTGCAGATTAAATTTTATGCTGCTGATGCTTGAAATTGTCTCTTGCAGCCAGACTCTTAGAGCTCTCAGCTGGCAGCTGATTCTGTAACTTTTCTGGCCAGCTCCCACAGTAAACTGCGTGCAATTGCTGGAGTCAGTTCTTTCTGTGATACTGTGAAGCTTTATATTTGTATGAACATTAAATTAATCTATGTTAGGCCTTTTATGCTTGCTACTTTACGGTATGTGCTAAGTGTTGTTTTTCTTACAGGCTTGTAATTAGCCCAGCTTAACTGTAGACTCAGTAATGCAATCTCTCTCAGCCTTGTCTTTGAGGTCATAGGATGACACTGTGATCTGCATGCTGCAAGGCTATCAGGACCACATAACTGCGATTTCTCTTTGAGGTGGCTTTTGTGGAGTGTTGCATGGGAATTAGCTAGCAACAGAAGGTACCTGTGGTTTGGTATTTCTGCTCTACTGGAGGACTGTGTATTGAAGTCCTTAGAAAAAGCAGGAATTAGTGAAAGATTTTACTTCTTTGTCTATATTGTCTTGTGGCTTTTTTGAAGAATGTAATTCAGTATGTAGAAGAGGAAATAGTTGTATTCAGAATTAACTTTTAAGTGGCTTTTTAGCACTGTTTTAGTGCAGTGTTTTTGAGATCCATGCTCTGTATATACTATATAGATACATCAGAAAACAGCAACCCCCTTCCTTTCAGAATTGGGAAGGGGAGGGTGGGAACAAACCCCTTTTAAGTCATATGAGCGAGCTTTTATTCAGGGAACTAATTATGCTGACAGATTTCTTTCCTGTCACTAATAACTTTTCCTCATTCTAAATGTAAGCTAGGATTCAGAAGGTAGCAAAACCTTGTGTAACAGGAAGAAAGTGTTGCAGTGACATTGAATCTGTTGTAAATTACAGGATTGTCCAAAGCTGAAAATTCCTTTGGAAAAACATTGCTATTGCAAGTTTAACAGGAACAGTGTTACTGAGTATACTACAAAAAATTCTAATGTAGTGACAATTTTTTTAATGTAGTTCAACTGTGCTAAGTATTGGTTGCCAAATTAATTTTAACTTACTTTAAAAATCCATGTTTTAATTCACCTAGTCTGCAGTTTGCCCTTTGAAAGCTTTTTCTTGGCAATAACTAGCCAGCTCCCTCAGAGATTCCTAGGTTTTTTTTACTTCTAGGCAATCAAAAATTTATGCTCAGTACTTGAATGTTGCTGGTTTTAGGAAAATTAGAAGGAATAATTGAGTATTATATAGTCTTATGAAAAAATTGTGGCATGTTAAGTTCTTGATTGTGTTGAGAAGCCAGCTGAACACATGATGGTTCTTTGAACGCAAAATAGGAAAATGCAGCTTTAATATTCTTCTAAGATGACTGCAGGATGAATTGTTTTCTAAATAATGTTTTATTGCTAGAACTGAAGTCCTCTGTGCAGTCTTTATATGGCTTTATTATCTTTTTCTTTTTTTTTTAACCAGGCCTTGGATTTCAGTGATGATGAAAAAGAAAGAGAGGCAAAACAGAAGAAAAAGAAGCCTCAAAATCAAGGAAGGAAGAAACTCAGATCAGAAACAATTGCATCAAGTGAGTGAATCCCATAGGAGGATGCTTTTATCTGTTAAACTGAGTTTGAAATATGCAGTGATACCTATCTTAATGATTGGGCTTTCATACAGTTAATCAGTATTTCTGTGCTTTTCAGTGTTGTATTTATGAATTTGTCGCTATGTTCCTTAATTTTTTAAATGGAAAATGAAGGTTTCTTTCCACGGAAGGGAAGTAGTGTAGGAGCAGGACAGTTGTCAGAGGAGATTCAAAGGCTCTTACAGCAGTGTCAGCTGACACATAGTGAGGATATAGAAGAGATGCCACCTTTTGGAGATTAGAGCTTGCTTATTGCAGGGGTTATTGGAGCCCCAGTTCAGCATAAGCATTTGAGTGCAGGGAGAAGATAGAGGAAGGTCACGTGCAATTTTTGGAAACCCATTTTTTTGACAGTCAGGGAGAAGACACAAGTCTTCTCAAGATGGGGAATTTATTCCTCTGTCTGAAAAGGAAGCTCTTCCTTACCCATGGCATATAAATATTCCTTTAAAATAACTGTTACTTGTGTAGCCCACTGAGAACCTCTCTCTTTACTTAAACAGTCATTAGATAAACAAACCTTATAGTAGTTTAATAAACTACAGTTTTTCATAATACATATAGCCTTCCTCACCTTCCTGCTGTTGACAGATCTGTTCCAGGTGTGTGCTTGCAGCTGTGCTCTGTTTGCAATAACCAAATTTTCTTGTCTTCTCTCATGCCCCTCTACTGACAAAACTTTTTGGGTTTTGGTTGCCATTTTTGGTTGAATCGCATCCCTCTTTTTCTGTTCTCACTGATCTGCTTCTGTTACATGTTTTTTGTACCACTCCCTTTAAATGCTACTGACTCTTATCCCCTCCTGTCTTCCTCTTCTCCTGGTTACATACCAGGTTGCTTCAACTATCTGCAGTGCTTCCTCCCCATTGGTTTTTTTTGGACTGAGTCCTTCCATGAGTCTGCTCTTCTTCTGTAAAGCTGCTAGAAGTTTCACTCCACTGAACCCCTTTTCTCTTGATCTGGGAAGTCAGTAACTGTCCTGTTAACTGTTTTACTCTGTGTACAGTACATCCCACCCTTGTACTCTTTAAATCTGCAATCTTTCTTAGACTGGCTTTTGCCCTGTGATTTTTGACAGTTCTCCTTTAAGGCAGGGATTTGAATTGTGCCATACTTTCCCTTCATTGCTGATGGTTATTTTCTCTCCTGGTTTTTGCTTATTTAGCATGCTGCATGTTTTCTGCCATATCCTTATTCTGCCAGCTTGTTGCAGACCTACTTTTACCTAGGGCTTGCTGAGGCTGTTAGTGAACTATGTTCCATAATGGAGAACGCAACAGGAGGAACTGTCTCAATCTGTCAAGGGAGTATGGGTTGTGATTTTTCTGTGTTTTTCTGTAAATAACATGGCATAAATAGACACTGTGTGCAATTTACTTTGGCTGTGGAATTCAACAACAAGGATATCTGGCAAATAGAGGCAAAACCTCAGTCCCAGCTGGAGTTTTGCTTGGTTGCACCTTCATAAAACTCGGAGTATATTAAAATTGTCTCATTGTTACAGTCTTTGATAGAAGACAACAGAAATGCTCACTTAAGTACTTTTCACTGCAGTGCTTCTGAGAGGACTGCATGTGCCGAAGGAGTCTTGAGTTCTAATCCCCCATGAAAAGGAGTATGAATTGTGGTATCTGACTACCTTTCCAGACTTAGCTTTTCAAAGCTAAAAATGTTTCCATGTAGTCTAGTGCCAAGGATTAGGTCCATATAGGTTCTTAGCACCACATAAAATCACTGCATTTTATGTCCCTAAATAACTTTTTTGCTTCTAGTCCTAAAATCCTTTAGAGATGATGTTTTGGTTTAAATTCTACTGTCTTTTGAATATCTTAGCAACTCTTTGGAACATTTTTAATATTTTGCTGCTCTTAATTTTGTAGCACTTACCCCATTAATACTCTTACGGTATTTATAGAAAGTGGCAGTACATTTGTTATGAACATTAAATATGTGATTACTGTGACCTGTACAGGGGAGAATTCATCTTTGAAAGATGAATGCTGAAAGCTAATTGGCTAAAGGTACAGGCTGCCTTTTTCTGTAAGTAAGTTAATTTCATTAGTTTGAGTTTGAATAATTTCTTGTGTCCTGTGTCTGTGCTGTAATATCAACTCAGGTCTGAAAGTTGTATACCTCTTTAGTGGAATGTAGTGTTGATTTATCTTCAGTTTTAAAATGTATTGTTCTTAAATCTTGTTTTAAACCAAAGCTTCCAAAATACTCAGTTTGAGTGTTCCTGTGATTCATTAATACAAATATAAATGCCTGGAGGGGAAGAAAGTGAAATTTGTTTTTTAATGACTGAATTTGCAACCGTCAGGATCATTATTTCTATATTACTTGAATAAATCAAGATGAGTTACTAAACAGTACACTTGCCAGTATTATTTTGTTGTTTATGTATTATTTGCCAGTGTTACTTGTTAATAAGCTTACTTTTCAAATTTCCTTGACTTCAGCTTGAAAGATTTGTAAGGACTGAGCTTTAATCATTCAAAAATAATATTAAAACTGTGTGTGTTCATTTTTTTTTTTTAAGGTGAGAATAAAGGAGTTCATCAGTCAATGCAACAGCATGCTTCAAGTTATTCAAGGGGATACTGTGGCAGAGGGTTCTCTAGGGGTCCATTTCCTCCTCCATCAGGCCCTCCAGGTTTTTCGAGACCACAAGTAAGACCACCACAGCTATACTCTTCAGACAACGGAATACATCAGGAATCTTCAGTGTTTCCACAACCTCACAGAAAAGAAAATCCAATGATGCAACACTATCCCTTTCCTCCTCCAGTTTTTGGTTCTGTTAATGAGATGCATCAATTCCACCTGCCACCTTCAAATCTGAGTATGATTTGGACAAGCCCAAACATGTACAACTCATCATACCCATTTTTGCCACCTCCTCCACCACCTCCTCCACCTCCTCCAGATAGCCATACTTCTCAGTTCAGGCCTTACTAAGTTTCCGTAAATGTGCATACAGAGCATTGCAGTTTGAGGGGAGGAAGAACAGCTCCCAGGACTGTATTCCATTATTTTGGAGATGCTTCATTTTTCTGCAACACTATAACAAATGCAGAGTTTGTTGTTTTGTGGGACATCCATAGAAAATTATTTTTTTCTTTACATGTTTTCTGTTTCAAAAAAAACCCAACCCTGTATGATTAAAGTAACTGGGTATTAAATAATGGTTTATTTTTATAATATCTACTAGTTTGGGTTGATAAATAAAAACCTTTTGGAAACTGATATGTAGTGGCAGAAATCTATTCTGTAATAAATGGAAGAGTTTAAGTAACTACTGTCTAATAGTGATGAGGATATGGCGCACAGATGGTACTTTAGTACTTTTAGAGTGCTTGTATATTGCTATGCTAAACCACTTTTCTCAATTTCTGCAAATTTTGAAATCTTGTGTGGAAGCTAAAAATATGACATCTAATTTTTAAGCTAGGTTTGCCACTGTTTATATAAGGTATAAACTCCTGTTACCCAACTTTCAGTATTTCTTTAATTTCATATTAACTAAAAGACTGGAGCTGGATGGTGTTTTTTTAAATAGCTGGAGTAGCTAGATCAGAATTTGGACCAGCAGCTGAATTACTCTGTCAGATTTAGTGTCCTATGATAGCTATAGAAGATCAACTCATTGATTAGATGTTTTGCAGTTAATTTTAGGATGTAAAACTGCATGGTATGGGGAAATAGAAAAAACAGCATAACTTCTATGGCTTGACTTTGTTCCCAGTGCAGAAATGCCCATAAGTACGCCCAGGATGTAGTCAGCCTTTCTAGGAAGAAAGCATTGGACCTGTCAGGGAGAGAAAGCGTGCCATTTCAGAACTCCCTTGTTTAAATATGTATCTAAAATGCAGGTTGCTGTTTGATTGTCTTTACAGTCAAAACTGTCTCTTCTGAAATTACCAGGTTTATCAACTCTCCCAGCTTGTTTCTAGGAGGGGGGTGGAACTGTCAACTAAAGATAGTCTGGAAGGATCTCCACCTGTCCAAAGGGTCAGTCCTACAGTTGCACTTCCCTAGTCTCCATAGAAGTGGCTCTGACTGACTAGAATGGAAACCCTTACACTGCATGAAGATTTTTACAAAGAGAAAAAAAAAATAGTGTGACAGAGACATCTACAAGATTATTTTTCAGTAGAAAAATTCATTACCAGTTGTAATGATTTTTGAATCCTTAATCAACAATACAATCACTCTGAACTACTGAACAGAACTGATAAAGTGCAGTATGTATTTCTATTCTCAAACTCACATTGGCCTCATTACTTCAGATATGTATTTAAAGGCTAATTAGGCTCTGCAGGTGTTGCTTAGACTTTTACTCTAATTCCAAATAAGAACGAAGCAAAAACGTAATGCAGAGAGGGAGGGACAGTCTTTGTCAAGATGCTGCTACTGTGTATTAGAAGTTAATTTCAGACTTCTGAAGTTTCTGTAATATACTTAAATAATAATTCTGTTCTCTAGCATATCTAGAACTACCGTTCCATGGGTGTGCAACTGAGAAAGTTTTATAGATCTCCAATTTTATGGCAGATGGGTACTGTACAGTGGCAGCAAACTGTTTCAGAACAATAGCATTCCAGACATTAATGTTAACTCAGTTCTTGCAGATTTGTTTATTTGTTTTTTACAGTAAAAAGAATGTCCAATTCTAGTCTTTTGCAAATACTTACGTTCTGGAGGAAAGGAGAAGGGGCCGAATATCTGGCTATCAGAGCTGTAGCCCAGCTATTACCCTTGCTATCGATAGGTCACAGGCATGACTGAACTCGCTACAGCCTCATGACTGAGGCTTAGCATGTTTTCTTTGTCTGAGCTTCCCTTGACTCACCTGGAGCTTTATTTTAACTTGGTTTAGCTGCAACAGCAATTTGTTAATGACCAGGTGGATATGATTAATTTGTTTTACATGTACTTTTTTTTTCTGATGGTGTACACATAGGTTTTTACATAGATGGCAGCGGCAAGTAGTTATTCTGTGTAGAATGGGGTATTTATGGTTTTAATGGAATAAGATGTAGAGGAATAGAGACCTGACATGATAACGGAAGCCTCAAATGGCAGCACTGGATGCAGTGCGGAGGAGTGCCTGGGATGTTAAGAGATATGGGGCAGGGCTGGCATTGGAAACCTCTGGGTTGCAAACTACTCCCCCGTGGTCAGCAGAAGAAATTCAATCCTGGCTGTAAGACAAAACTTCTTTTGAGTATAACGGAGAGAAAAAGTATGTAACACGTGTAAAATGCAGCATATATGGTTAAAACAGATGTAATTGTGAGCTGGCAGACAGATGAAGACAGAACAAGATGTTACAAGTGTGTTGTCAAACATAAAAGTGATACCAAGTTGATTTATAGATTAAGGAGGGAGAAACAGTCATCATACTTGGACCTGGGATGCTGATGACTTGCTCTATGTCCCTGGCACACACAGACACCATCAGCCTCAGGATCCAATGGGTCAGCTGAAGGGTAAGTGTAACACCAGGAAAAAGTGTAAGGTAGGAAGAAGTGTATGTACAGTAATTGCAACTACTGCTACTTTTGAGACCTTTTTTTATGTATAGTAGTGTTCAGATTTTTTCTGCAATAATTTGATCTCAACTAGTAATAATTCTTTGATTAGTCTGTTAAGATTTTGATTACACTAAGGTGTATCCTCTTTTCCCATAACGATATTTTGCATGTAACAAAGCCCAGTATAAAATTAGGTTACAGAATGTAGTTTGACAGAAACTTATGGTCTAAGCTATTTTATTAATGCTTGGTAGATAACAGCAGTACTGGTTTTGTGTGCACTTGCTTGTTTTTTATGTAGAAACAAATTTTGCAGGTCTTCTATAGCTACAGAGTACAGGTCACACTTGCGGAATTTTGCTTGGAATCAACTTTAGTTCTTCATTATAAAATTATCTGAGAGCTTGGTATGATTACTGGGTTTGAAATATTTGGAGGATTGACTTCCTTGCCCCAAAATAGTGTGTTACACACAACGTCACACTGAAGCATAAGCATTGCAATAGATTGCTAGAGTAGTGCACCATCTTAATTTGAAAATAGACCGACTGTAACTGTCCTTTTGTCTGTTTATAGTCAATATATTGTGTTGCACAGAGTGCTGTCAGACCCTGGTTCAGTGTGCTGAGTGCTTGCTGTTGAGAAAGTGGTATAAACTTGCAGTAATCTGGGGAGATAAGAACCTGAGGTGTGTTTGCAAATTTAGCTGTTTGGGGAAGGAAGATTTAACAAGGTATATTTGACAGAAAAATTAATGTGGAAATACTTCTTTTGTATCTTTAACTCTTTGAAAAATGTCTCTGTCTTTGTCCACAGGCCTTTAAAAAAAGTCTTAACCACAAAATTTGGGAAAACTGGCCTGACAGTTTTAGTGGCAAAAATAACTGATTTTGTTTGGCCCCAGCTATTTGTGTGTCAAGCTGTTTTATAGAAATCTGTGTTACTCCATTACTGTGTTATGTTAAACACATTACTACATTAAAGTGTTAGAGCAATACGCTCTAATAGGATTATAGTAACTCATCTGCTGAGCTGTGCTCTTTTGTGTCTGGGACACCAGTTCAGTCATAGACACAACAGGGACAGATCCTTGGCAAATTAAGCACTTCAAGACATTTCTCTTTGCTGCTGGAAATTGAACAGTAATGCACACCAGCTCACTTCTTGATCAGCGCTACTTGGGAGCAGGCTGAGCTTTTTAATCTGAAATATTTTGGTGTGTAATGTACCCTCTCTAGAGATACTCCAAATTAAGAAAGCCAGCCAGCCAGGAAATGTGAATTGTGCAGACACCAGGTCCTCAGCACCACCACTTTCTCCACAGATCTACTCCAGCTGCTCCACGCTACTTGCTAATGTAGATGTAATTCTAATGTCTGGCATGTACTGCAATAACTTTTTTTTTTTTGGTACTACTTAGGCATTACTGTAGTTAATGTTTCTAATACAGGCACACAAAGACAGAAGGGCTTAAAAATCACTGTTCTTTCTGGCTGTCGAGAGCATCCAATCCTGATGCCAGTTGAAAATACCAGCAAACACCTATTTGCTAGGAATTTCACTGTGAGCTGTATCTCAGCAGTTGGCAGGTTGCTGGATTAGCACACTGGTATCAGCGAAGGTCATAAAGCCAATGTTTTTTTGCACAAAATGATTGGAATATATCTGATACGTTATGTTTAAAAACAAACAAAACTATCCAACTTCTTCATCTCCCCTCCCCTTTCCAAAAAAAACCCAAAAGAAAACAACAAAAAAGCCATGCTAAATTTGTGAAGCAGATTTGTGCGATGAAATACTCAGCTGTGAGGGAAGAAGAGGTGGATCCCATCTTCTGCAGCCCTTACTGAAAGCACTTCACATTTGTCCCTGTGTTTAAAGGAAAAAAAAAAAAAAGAATCTTAATTCCAGAATATGACCTTTCATATGTGCAGGTATCATGTTGCAATTCTGCTGGGTAGTCACCCTGTTTTGAATACAAGAAATCTGAAATTACACCGTAGAGTGATCTAAGATGAATCAGACTGGAGGAAAAATGCTGTCATGCCTTACCTTCCCTGTCAAGTAACTTCACCTGTGAATTCATTTATGTTCCTTCAACTAACCAACCTAATTCACTACTTATGTCTGAAATACTGACTTCTTTTTCCAAATATATGTATTTTGTGTAGGAATACTATGATGGCATGTTTATACAGTATTTAACTTTTTTTTTTACTGGATTGTTAGGATTTGCTAAATTGTTGCAAGGTTAGAACTTAACAATAGTTAGCTCTCATTCAATGAGATGTAGTTGGGAAGTCTGTAAAAGCCTCCAAAGAAGAGAGCATTTCTTATTTTGTAGTTACTCTTTCCTCTCCAAAGGTGAGTAAAGCAATGTCAACATCAGAAAAAATTTGAGTCAGAGGTGACTCACACCATTCTGTGCCAAAAGTAGCAGGGGTTGCTATGCTCTGGGGGTCAGATGCAAGTGTTCAGTAAAGCAGTATTTTCCAGTAGGCCAATATTTCCTTATTTATGACTCATATGATGTCTATTTTCAGATTCAACCTGGAGAGCTGCAATAGAGTCCTGTCACTTCTGTGAAGTTTTTAGTTACTCCCCCATGGGATTTAACACTTCTTCATGGGCTGCTTTCCAGAGAAAGCTTAAGGTATGGGGTGAGTGAAAAGCAAGAGAAGGGAGAGACTTGAGGAAAAGCAGAGGCTTAGAGGGAAAAATGGCTATGATTCCTCAAAAGGCTGAGGCTTATAAATAGAAGTATGGATGCAGTAAACTATTGTACTGTATAAATGTAACTATGGTAACGTGGAAAAATGAAAATTGTAATCACATACTTGACAAC